GCGTGAAGATAACTCATCACCTGTAAGTTCAACTACAGTATATTCCCGATCAATGTCGCTGTCACTGACAACTTTATCCTTCTTGATCATAAACCTCTTATTTCCTCATTTTTTCAACTTTCTTTAATGATATTTACACTATTCTCGTTCATTTAATGGAAGATAAAAATTCGACTATGCAAAGCAAAGCCTCCTTTCAAAATTTAAGTTGTTAAATTTTTGAAGTGATATATATATTTCCGAAATTTCTAGAGCCGAATAATTTCACATGATCGATGCAAACGAAAGCTTTAACTCTCAAAGCTACTTCGAGCAAAATTTAAACCTCCTTCGCATCTTGTTTGGCCTTATCTCGAAACTTCGTCGCTAAAAGAACATAGCTTTCCGAATCACTGATCATATCAGGCAAACTACCTCTTACAGGTAGAACTTCATGGGCAGCGACAAAACGCCGCAGAGCAGCGGCCAACAACCAAAATCGTGCCAAATCTGGCTGTCGCGCTTTCGGATGATCTAGTAACTCCTTTACCCCCAATGGTATCTAAAAGCGAAAAATAAGAAATTTTAAGCTGAAAATATTTTAAATTAATATTCATAAAAAATTACTGATTACATATCTTAATATAAACACTAACCGTTGTTTTTTTCAATGACCAAACCATTGCGGTGTGACCTTCGGCAAAATTTTCTTCTCGAATTGATCCACTTTCTGGATGTGGCATCCGTAGTGACATAAAAATCTAAACAAATGATCATTTTAAAGACTTCATCTCACCGATTCTAAAGAAAAGTAACTGAAGTCTCGGAAAAAGGATTAAACTAATAATAATGAGATGAGTTAGATGAGTTAAAAAAAGGATTAAACTAATAATAATGAGATGAGTTATAAATTAAAAAAAAAGAATAGAGGAATTGAATAGAAAAAGTTAACCAGAAATTAAACATTTAAATACATTTACCGTTTCAAATGTTTTTCGTTTTTCACGATTGTCGGGAAAATCATCTTGGCCATACTTCTCTCGCCATAACGCGAGCGCTTTCAGAAATAAAATTAAATATGGTGTATGGGAATGAACATCGTAATGCATCCCATTTAAATCTATCGATTCTACCAATTCAGATAATGCCGGAAACGGACAGTCGAGCCTGAATACCATAAAATGACTATCAGCGCCACTTGAAGATGCCATATCTGCAACCATGTCTGAGGACTTGGGACACAGCTTAGCCCCGTCTATCGACTATTTTGATTGATTTTTATCAAACCAATTTGGATCCTTTGAAAAATACATCTAAAAAATTTGTTCTCAATAAAAGATTATATGGGATTCAATCTAAAAAATTTGAAAAAAATCGGAAAACTCATTTTATAAATATCAAAAACTGACGTTACCTTAAATCAGGTGGTACATTCTCCTCGTGCGTATCAATAATCGTGTGTTCTTGAAAGGAAACTCGTATAAATCCAACAAAACCATATGCTCTATAATCATTATTTCAAAACACTATTTCAATTAATCAGAATCATTTTGAAAATATAGTGATGATGAAACCTATAGTCCTAAAACTCAGCAAAATGCTTGAAATTCATTCTAATTTCACAGAATTTGCTTAAATTATTACGTTTGAAGACATTTTTTGATGCTATATAATAAATTATACATATCCTAGTATGAGACCTCGAGTATGAAACGCTAACCTTGCATGAACAAAAGGTATATTTTTCTCAAACAAAAAGTCATTTATTCGTGCAGCAACGTCAATATTCAAATTGCATCCAACAATAATAGTAAACCGCCTCAGAAAATCCATGTCTCTGGTAATAATATCTTCAGGATTCCCTAAATCGAAACCTCCTTCCACTGATGGATTTAGCTCCTGGAAGAAAAGAGATTCATTCCACTAGCATCTTTAAACCAACTTCTCCTTTTGCAGCAACTGATAATCAATACCACTTCTATTATATTTTATAAATTAGAATGAATTAAAGAATCTTCTATGCTCAGCGTTATAGCTCTAACAGCGAGTCAACTACATCTTAGGAATGACTAGGATTTTGAGATCTAAAGATGCTTCATTTTACATTATAATGGAAAACATTTAACATGTTCAAGCGAACTACATACTATAAGTAATCGTAATGCAGCTTTTGCTCTCGGTTGATCGACTTCATCGCCAACAAAAAAATTATTGCCTAAGTCCGGTTTGGATATGACGGCAGAATCGATGATATACACAGACTTGATACCAGCAAGTACCAAATTTTTCATAACTTCACATCCCAAAGCAGATGCACTCAATACGCAGACACTTGCATGTTCAATAGAAGATTGACCCTCATCGCCCCAAAGACGAATTTGCCGATCATATCGTGCATCGTCTTGCATCTTTTTTATTGAAGCCTGTTAAGTCGAAACTGTTGAGTTATTCAGCAAAGAGTACTGAAAAAAATTAATTTCTACTCCAGAATCTTTTATACACTCAGTGAAAAAAATTACTACTATGTGAAACAGAAGCATAATTTCAAAAAAACAAGGTTTATTCAGATCCGCATTTAAGAGATAAGTATCATCATCTGATGGTTTCTAAATTAGTACCTCATGAATATTTGCGACACACTAAAATACTGCCTGTAGTTCATGTCACAAAACAAAACAATGCATTCTCTAAGGCTTCCTCCCCTCACTATCTCCAGTTTATATGATTACTGCTTCCTTAATCCTTCAGACCACACATCGTTATTTCTGGCTATTCTTCAATAATCATATTTAATCATATACGATCTTCGCTCTATCTTGTCAATTATTTCTTTCGCTTTCATCAAGTGCACCAAATCCAATAAATTCCAGATTCCCTTACCTACCGAAAAAGTACACAATATTACCTATTGCTTCACCAAATATAATCCTATTGTTCACCAACTACCATCCTCACTACTCCAAAAAAATGCTTCCGAGACCTCACCACCCCACCGCTGATTTGACCAGCTCGCGGATGAAGAGTCCAGCATGAACAGTTGCATATTCGTCGCATGCTACTGAAAATTTTTCTGAGTTTGAAGTTGAATTCCGTCTGTAAATGCTAACCGGATTTTTGAGGTGCAGGATAACGGGAATTCTGCAATCTTGTTATACTACGAAGTAGCAAGACGGAAGTTTATATCCAGCGAAAAGTTTCTACGTGCATTTCAAAACTTGCAATACAGTGAATTTCATTCCGGCACAGATCGTTACCTACCGACAGGACGTGACTTTCCAGGAAAACGTTCTCTTTTTGCCAGATGTTATTTTACAAGTGAAATGCGGAAATGTAACAAAAATATCTTAAATGCATGAGCGTATTACAATAAAATTTATGTTTGAGGAGTACAGCAGCTGTATGGTTTTACTGCAAACTATTTAGTATTCAATCATGCCGGGAAAGCGTTCAGCAAATCTTTTTCATAGATGTGTCGTAGGTAAGCAGTGTAATGAATTGAATCATTTGTTTTAGTATCAATCATGTAATAGGTCTTCTCTGCATCACATTTTCTTTTCAACAATGCCCATTGTTTTGTGGAATGAGAAGCTGTAAATAAACGTGCTGGCAAAACTCAACATTTAAAAATCTTCTGAGTGGATTGGGAATTCGGCTCAAATGTTATTCAGATATTACATTTTGAAAAATGTCACCTAAAAATTTTACTCTTAAGAAACACTAACATGCATAGAGTTCGTTCTCAATGCCTCGCCTTTTCCATAGTGCCGACTGGATCGCTAATTCTAAACTCTTTCTTATCGATGAGAAGTTTGGACTCGTCGAAGAAAATAGTCTATATAAAAAAAACAGTAGGGTTAAAGGGATCCGAATTTTTTTGTGTTAAGGGAATCCTTTATATGTGCTTTACTTTCACAGAAAAATCTTTTTTAAAACATCCAGGGATATTCCGTCAAAGCTATTATGAACATAAATGTTTTAATCGTGAAAATATCAATAACAAAGGAAATTAAAAACTTCAAAGCGCTTTTTAGATTGTAATAAACTGATAATATATAAATAGTAGCACATAAATAAGCTGACTTTGTTTACTAGAAAAAAATGACGAAAAGAGTGAGGAGAAAGAAAGATGATGGAGAAGTATGAGAAATGGCATTATGGACTATCGAAGACTAAAAAGGGAATGGATTCGCAGATCGATTTTTACAACTACATCAAGTGAAAGAAGATGTTAAATATGGTGATAAGCTTTTGCTACATAAAAATAACGGAAGTTCTATACTCTGTTTATTACTCAATTGCTTCAATCCTTTTCATTCATACATTTATTTATTTATTCATTCATTTTTTTTGGATTATTGGAATGAATCATAATTGCTAGTTCATTTCCTGAGCATTTTCCTTTCTGAAAGCGGAAATTTGAATTGATACTCATATTTTTCTCTCTTTCAAAAGTAACTAAAAGTAGTTAGAAGGTAATATATATATATATTCATTGTCCTTTAGAACTGTAACTAAACTTTGTTATTTAAAAAAAATCATTACGGTATTTGAATAAGTTGTTGAATAGCTTTCGACCATTACGCAGATATTGAGAGATTGATTTTGATTTATTTAGTATATTTTCAAGAACTGACTAAGTTTGAACACCATACTTTTTTTATCGTTACTATCGAACATCAATGCAATTAATCATCTCTAGACAAATCTTTTCTAATGTTAATGCAGGTCTTTTCTAATGTTATTATATCGTATTTTTAATCATTAAAATAAGAGAAATCTATATAACAAATAATTAGTGCACTCTGCTGAGATTTGCATATTTGTTATAGCAGAATGTTCATTACACTAATGCGATATTATGTACGATCATTCATTTCTTGCTTTAAATGCGACACAATCATATTGTCGCAAAAAATTGTATAAGTTTCTAAATAATTTATCGTATCAACTTCAAAATTGAATATAGTTTAATTTTTAATATTTAACAAAACTGTTTTCATATTTTCAGATAATTCTATTGTATGTATGTAAAACCATCAATTCTTGATAAGTCGAAAATTAGGCACTTCGATTCAGAGTGCATGACGCTATTGGCATTATTGTGCACCTGTACAGTTATCAGTGGTCAATACAGTAAATACGGAATCCCGCTGAATCATACGTAAATTGTCATTTTGCTGTCTGCCTTTTTTCCTTAATATCTCATCTTATCATCAGGCGTTCAATTATATGGATATTGCATGTATATGTAAAAAATCTCGAAAAGACCGAAAAATAGCTGTTAAATCATTTTAAAGACTAACAAAACAGTTGCAAAATTATAGGACGTTTATCAAATCGATAAATTTTATGGTAAAATAAATTCTTACAAATTCAACATTTGAACGTAGTATTTCTTGAAGTTATTGTATATTTTCCTGCGATACATTATCAAAATATATTGAGCAATACCTTCGATAGCATTATTTCGTAACATAATTCTGAAACACATTTGAAAATATATGCATCTAAATCAATTATTTGAAAATTAGATTTTGTTAACAATTTAAAGGTTCTTATTGAATAATGAATCGCCGCCGTTCGAAGATAATAATGAAGTTAAGAGAGACCAAATTGTGGAGAGATGGCCAATTAAGGAGGATAGAAGATGCGCCAATGATGCATTAATAATTACCGAACTATTACGCGATTATAATAAACATAAAATACCTGGTGGCAATAATGTACAAGTTTCCGTCGAGGTACTTCTTGTTCACAGGGATTATATTATTGCGACGGGCAAAAAAGTAGGATACTTGAAAGATGAAAAGCTAAATTTTTGTTTTATTTTTGGCTCAATTAAAATCTTTGTATCTTCAGATTTGGGTTCAAGAGGTTTCAAAAATAATCGAAATAACAAGTGAATTTGAGCTAGATATTTATGTAACAGAGAAATGGATTGATCCATCGCTAGCGTTTAATCACATGAATCCTTGCAAAAAGTAATTTCTAAAATCATTTTCATTGTTGGATCAAATTTTGAACCCTCAGAACAACATAATTCAATTGTAAGTATGTAAATGTTTCGAATTTATTTCTTGTAGTGCTGAAATTATCTTTGATTCCAGGAATATATCGGTAGATGGCGGTAAAATATTGCCTCAGATATGGAGTCCTCATGCATGTTTTGTTAATAGTAAAGATGCTTCAATTCATCGTAGTCCATTCAGTAATATTTTCTTACAGATTTATAGCGATGGTTATGTGTGGCATAATTACAGGTCTGCTTTTAACAAAAATTAGCAATGATACAGTTTTAGTTATGATAAAATTAAATAATAAAACCAAATTAATGTGTGGTAGACATTTAAAAGTGAACAAATTAAAAATGAGCATTTAAAAAATTTCTCAAAAGCGTAATTGTAAGAATATTCATTTGAATTACTTTTGTTACAACGTATCAGATATTCATATTAGAGCTCAGAAACTACTTTGTTACTTTTTATGCAAGTTTTCGATTATGCTAGTTTAAATCATCCATCACTTAAGATTTTTCAGGATTAAATTAACAGGTCCTTGTTTTAATGCATTAAGAACTTTTCCAGTTGATAAACAACGTTGCATGTTATTTTACGAATCATTCAATCATAATTATGATCAGGTCTCTCTTCTCACCATTTGAAAAACAACCAATTATTACTGATAATGATTGGAATACTGATAACAACCTATTTGGCATTTCAAAGATTACCATAAAACGTAGAATCCGCAGTTTTTTTTTAATTAAAAGCTCTCAAAATTGTATCTCGAAATACTTCTTTTCTGTATCGATAAAAGAGAGGACTAATTAACTTACGAGTTCGAAATAAAATAAAGAATGAAATTTAAGTCGAAGATTTTATGTAATTAGTAAAAAGACTATGATTCTTTCTTCTCATTGCAGGTAGCAATGGAATGGACAGAAACAGCTCCACCGATAACAATTCTGAAGAAAAATATAACACTACCTGATTACGTACTCATTGAATATACGGCATCAAGTGTCAGACGAGTAAGTTATTTTATTTTATTTGTTCACAATCAAAGTATCAGAAAAATTTAGATGATATTCTCTGATCCTTGATCATTCCGCATATGTACTTTTTTATTTCATTTTTATTCAAAAAATTTCCACATTTGTGCAGAGATGTTTTTTGCTTTAAATAAACTTTATCAATAAGTAAATAATGATTTGATGATTGCCATCTGTCCACATCCATACCGGATAATGCTGTTTCGGTCAATTTAACATTCTTAGAATAATAACAAATTTCTACTGCTACTGCCACTCCTTACGATACCATTGTTTATTTTACTATGTTCAATTGAAAAGCTCTTTTTTTTTCAGCTATATCCACCAGGAATGTGGAATGAATTAGTTGCTACTTTCACATTTCAACGTCTTTATGGTTTCTATATATTACAGGTTGTAAATGGCAGCTTTTAATTTTAAATATAATATTAAATATGAGAAAATGCAAGAATTTTAATGACTATTGATGAACTATTTCAGCTATTTCGATCTTTCTTTGTATTAAAGTTTGAATGAGAAAAGCATTTCTTATACCGTCCCCCTATTATAAGTTTCTTAGGAATGCTGATTTTTGTGGCTTAATTTCTACAATTCTTACTTTGCAGAAGATCTAAATATGTTTTAATCTTTCAGGTTTATGTGCCTGCATACATATCTGTATTCATATCATGGGTGAGCAAATAAAATTTGACTTTTACTTAAATTGAAACAAAAAATTTTAAGTAAACAATACGGCGACATAGCATATTTCTATTCGATATTTATCAAAATCACTCTGTCATGATAATTTTTTCTTAACTATTAATAAGCAAACTTTATGCATAGTTATTTAACTTCTTCTGTCTTGACTGATTTTATCCTTCCATATGGATCATGTTGTATTCACTTTGTATTTATCGAAATTCAAAAATTTGCTGATCTAGAATTTATTGCATTTTTGAAAGGAAGATAAGACAACCTCTAGGTCTAAATGTATTATGTATTATTGCAGATTTCGTTTTGTGTCGGGCCTAATCTCCCATCAAGAACAATACTTGGTGTAAATTCACTTCTTGCCTTAACGTAAAAATCTTTATCCATTTATTCATTGAAATCATGACACACAATCTTTGAAAAATATCGGAAGGCAAAGAGAAAAATAAACAATGAGCTTTGTTTTATCGATATAAGTGGTGAAATTAGATAACGATAGGCACTATTGATTTAAACAAAGGACAGATATTTTGTATAAGAGAAGCCGTAATGACCCATGCTTCATTATATGAATTTATTGTTGCATGATTTCACTGCTCTTATTACAGGTTCCAATTCGGATCTGTTGTAAGCAATTTACCTAAAACAAGTGACGTCAAAGGTAAAGTTATACGTATGTTAATATAAAATATTTAAAAACTAACTTTTGGTATTTTTATCTTTCACAACCTGTTTTTTCTCGTCAAATGTCTATTTCAGCAATTGATGTCTGGATTTTAAGTTCAATGGCTTTCATATTTGCGTCATTGATAGAGCTTGCTGCAGTGGGATATATGCGGCGGAGTGGATCAGCTGTTGCAATTAGGTGTGTTTTTTAATAATTAATAATTTCGGTGCACTAAAAACTAATGACTAAGTAAAATTTATCAACTAAGATGGAAACATCCAATATCTAAATTGTGATTACCTAGAAAATCATTTTTTCTATTCTTTGAAAATTTCAGATGTAACTGTTCGATATTTTGCTTAGAATGTCCGATGTGGACAGCAAATAAATTAGATAGGGTAAGTTTCATGCTAGATATAATCATTTTCAAAGTTTTGGATTGCAAATATAAAATGAAATTTAAATTAATTTCAGATATCATTGGTAATATTTCCAGCTTTCTTTATCGTGTTTAATATATGGTATTGGTTTTTCTTCCTTGGGTAAATACATTTTTTCTTATTTCCTATTTCAAACTTTTCAGTTCTTCAATTTCAAAAAATATTCTCCTGCTGCTTTACCATATCTTCCAAATTCTTTTCATAATTAATAAATTACTGTGCAGCTGTTTCATTTGTTATTTTATATAATTAACTAGCGAAACGCGACCTTAACTTACCATCGGAACCATCCACAAAATTCTCAATAAATGATTTATTGAATTTAGTTTTTTAATTCATTTTATTAATTCACTAGTATGTTTTAGTGATGGAATTAAAGAGATATATTTGTTGATAGATTTGGCTCATAAATTCTTTTAGATCCCTCCATATGACAACATCATCCCAGCGTATTGTTATTTATCAATTTTTTCATTTTATATAGTAGCTCTTATTCTTATTTGAAAAATCATTTATGAAGTTGCATAATAATTATACGCTGGGATGATGTTATTGTCAGGTATATATATTTTCTTTTCATATAGACTATTAGATAAAGTAACTATTTATACTATTATTAGATGAAGTAATTACTTTTCTCCTCCATAGTGATCAATTTGTTTTTCCTTTTGCTAGTTTAAATATTTGTTTCATTTGTTGAATGAAATTTCTGCAAGGAAATCATCAGAAAATTGTAAGAAACAAAGCCTAATCTTTTTTTCAAAGGAAATAAACCAATTATTTTATCTAATAATTTCAAACAACTTTTTTGCCAAACAAAGGGTTAAATTTTGCTGAAATTTATTGTTATAAATTCCAGGCGAATAAATTAACGCGAGGAAAGAAGCTTTGGTTATTGTGATATTTTATCTAAATTTATTTTGTGAAAAATAAAAATACAGTATAATTTATTATTGATATATGTCTTCTATTCGAAAAATATAAATTTCTCTCAAATCAACGCACTGATAAAATCGAATTTTTCCAGATATATATATCCAGATATATATCGTGATGTACTTGTTAAGTTACAAGTACAAGTTGAAAGATGGAGAACTTATAAATCTCATCGGTGTTTCAAGTCTGCTACATTTAATGTACTTCTTAAGTAAGAGTTGTAAGATCATTTAAACAAACAAATCTCTCTCTTAGTGCAGTTTGCGATTGAAGTGCTGATTCATCAAATTAAAATTAATTAGTCCCAACGAAAAAAAGCAGTTTTATTGAAGTTGCACAATTAAAGTGAATTGTCAGTAAATAAAGCATTGCAAGTGAACCAAGCTGGGATGAAATTTTAAATTGTTCGTATTTCGCATAAGATCGTTAGAGAAAACGATATTTTGCGACAGATTTTAAACAAAAAGAAGAGACTAGGAAAAGAATTAGTATTACTATGCATTGATGATAATCATTAGTTATTGAGAATAATTGATTAATTGCGGAAATATTATTTATTGGACAGATCGCCTATCATTAATATGTTATAGTAAAAATGCAGAAATTTCATTATACGCTGTGATAATCACTTGAAGAATTTAAGTATAAGCTTGAAATAACTTTTCCAGAAATTTCGATTTGTTTAAATTTAGAGAAGCAAATAATCGCTATGCGGCGTCATTTTATCGATCGCATCAAACTAATCTTATTAAATTTAAGAATGCAAACATTAATACTATTCATTGTGTGTTCAATTTAGTTAGTGATTCAACATTTTCGTGCATTAACTAGCGCTTACATTAGTTGAATAAAACTTTACTTCCAAATAAGGATGATTATCATTTCAGAGAATTTACACACTTAATAATTATGAGCGTCAATTGCGCTCACTTATAAAAAATACTATGATAAGAGCCTAAGTGGAAAATATTTATAGAAGACAGCCTTTTATTTGAATGCGAATTTCATTTTACCTGTTATTCATTGCTTGATTGAAATGTATTCAAACTTAATTTCCAATCAATGAATGCAATAAAATTGCAGAATTGTTTCTTATATATGAATCCTAATGATTTGTAGGCTTTTTGCATAGTTCAGGAAATGACTTCTCGTTGATGCGATTTCATTTAATTTATCCAAATAAACAACTTATTTCTTACTCACTCAACTCTTTCATTTATGTTAAATAAGAAATTCAATAGGCAAAATATAAAATCAAATGATTAAATTATTAAAAATTTTAATTTAAATTTTTGCCTGATAGTTAATGAGAAATTTATTTATTACCATCAGATTGTATTTTAAGACACTCACAACTTTTGATTTTATTCAGAAATTTCGTAGAGATATTTTGAAGACATTGTGTTTGACCAATGATAATTTGCTGGTCATTCTGCTAAATTAATCATAATATAATGATCTTGTTTTGACCAATGTACTCATTGGATAAAACTTTTCATACAAATATCATTTCTACGATCAAATTAATACAACTGGGATAACAAGAAGATTTTATGATGAATCAGTGGTGGAATGTAATTTCATCATGATTTATCACTTTTTATTCTTCAATGATAAATGCTATTCTCTTATCACTTCATTTTAAAGAATGTAACAGTAAACGAGAAATTAAGTTTACTTTGCTCCTACAGCGTAGAAATTTAACAGAATTCATACAGATTATCGAAAAGCATTTTCTATTTTTAATGATTTGAGAGTATTTTCTCTGCGAAAGATTGTCACAAATGAATCAATCAGACTGATTGGAGAAGGATCAGATGAATATGATAGTTGAGGAAAAAGTTTATCGTCCAATTTGCCCTCAACTTTTAAAGTGTTTTGGATTGATTGACTATCATGAAGGAAGCGTATCTTTATCGATTTACTGAAATCTTTTATTTGATCTTATTTATCTGCTTCAAAGTAGATATAAACAAACAACAAACAACAAGCAATTACCCAATTGCAAGAAAATTAAAATGATAAATAATATGGCTAATTAGGTATTAAAATCAAGCAGTAAATTTCAACGATGCAGTAATCACAATTACTTTTACATTAACTAAACTTAAATATTCGATAAAAATATTGCCGAAAAATGATTGATAGAGAAAATTAAGAATCTCGTATTTCTCGTGAAATAGCGATCATCGGAAAAAGTTCGAAATTTCTAAGTCTTAAATTCATCTACCATAGTTTGTTTGCATTTTGCTCCTTGATTTTTATTGCTTGTGGCACAAAATGAAGTGATATACAATACGCTAACAATATTTTAATCAGTTTCTCAAGAATAAACTGACCATATATCTCTATCTATGATGATAACTGGCTGCAATAAATATGCGCAGATGGGGCGGTGATAATCGATGTTTGGATTCCAGATTTTTCGATTGAAGAACTCATCACCCGTGCTGTAAATCTGTCATTAACAGAATATAGTAGTGTAGTGGACGAAGGCGCCTCTTCCAAATTTCCTTTTCATTTTCTCATATTGATAGACATGTAGCCGCGTTTTAATCATTTCCCATATATTCAGAACATAGAATAACGCATGATCGTGTAATCATGTAATCATTATCAAATAATAATTCATTTGCATTGTTAACAATTATGCCGAAATAATGGCATCTAATTATTTCATACTAATAAATTATCTTAAATTGTATTCAGGATAATTTTATTTGGAAACTGGAATTATATTTTATATAAATGATTATGCATTTGCTTTTTGTCAAATAAATGCAATTAATTCAACTCTCATTATTATTTTAAATGATTTCACATGTCGCTCATACATATGAATTTTCATTTAACTGTGAAAATTAAACAAAATTTGCTTGCTTATTATCATTCTATACTCATCGTATGAAAGTATAAAATTTAAATTTCACACATTATCAATTCTATACCGTTTACTATAAAATCCAAAATGTCGTAAATCCATCATTATCATGCATGAATTCTGTAAGCGAGAATAAATAAAGAAATTTATTGTTTTTATATTCTTCTAATGTTCAGGTATATTTCCAAGCATTGCTTATCTTCTAGAAGTCATTGAAAGATTTTAATTCGTTTGCAAATAGAATTTTAATTTTAAAAATAAAACTCTGAATTAATGAAATTTCAGTTTTGACGATAACGATTTGTCTAAGTGTTGTAATAACAATTTCCCGTCAATTATTTTGAATGAAATGTTATCATTAACATGTATGGCAGTGTTTTGTATTATTTTTGATACCGATGCTCAGGTAATTTAAATTTCATATTTCCAAATTTTAGAAATTCTATTAGCTAAATAAATAAATCATTCTAAGAGTGACAAAGGTAACATGTTCGATAAAATATGATAACATCCAAGGATTATTTTCTTTTAATTGAAACAATGAGAATAAAAATGCAATCAAAATTTGACATTTCACTACATTTTGGCATTAATGAATTAACACAATAAAAATAAACATTAATTAAAATAATATAAAATTTAGAAAACAATAATTTTATAATGTATAGGAAATAATGTAGCAATTATTGAAATATAACTGATAATTTTTCAAAGATTTAAAATTGGTTATTTTTTGTTAATTGTACTCTGTAGGGGATGAAATGGATAAAAGTAAAATGGGGTTAATGATTTATTATTCTCACGACCCTTTTTCAATCCTGGATTATTATATTACCGGTTTCAATACTTTTTTTTTGAAAAATTTCATCCCAATTTTTTCAACAAACTGTTTTCGCCACCTTTTATAATTTAGAATTCATTTTCACTTCAATTTCACAAAAATTTTTCGGTTATTTCTTTTTGCTCTAATTCCATATTTTAGGTTATTCCATTTCACATTGATCCATTCCATAAAAATGACAAAAAAATTATGGAAAAAGTTAACCACTAAAATTATCAATTATCAATCTTATCATTTGCAATAGAGAAAATTTCTTCTTCTAATGCAACATACTGAATAGTTTGAGATTTCAATAGAAATTTCGAAATTTTATGCATAACTTTTTACGATGCATTTTCTTCTCATTTTCGTTTGGCGTTCAAAGAAAAATGGTTATTCAATGATATTTAATGAATATCAATCGGAAAAGATCAGGAAAATTTTTAAGAAACATTCATCGGATGAATCGTTGGATAATTCGGAGCCACGTATGATCGCAAATTCGAAAAGCGAAAATGTTAGACGCAATCAGCTCGTCAGTGTACAGTAATTTTTACTTTTAATTATTTTTTCAACTAAGAAAATTTTAAGATTTTTAGATTATATATTATTTATTTTCCAACTTTACGTTTTCATTTATTTTTAGTTGATAAAATTTTAGACCATCTTTACTGCAATTTTCAATTCCAATGCTGGCTGCATTTAATCCATTTCAATTGAAACATCAAATTATAGGAGCGAAGGGTTAGTTAACTAATTGTTTAAGCTTTCTTTTAAGTTAATTCTCATTTAATGAAGCATATGAAATCAACAATTTTACCATTAATTCAGATGTTTCCAGTCAACTCACAGATTGGCTTCAACCATTGCGTAACAATCTATTCAGACCACCTTCATTATCCAATACTCCCTTACTTAGCACCGTTCAAGCAAATCCAATGACAGCTAATCTAACACATCTTAGCAAATTAATGGACGGTAGTGGTCTTTTTCGAAAGGTAATTTTCATCATCTTCCTTTTTACTACATGGCACTTAATACAATTTAAGTTCTGAAAAATTGTATGAATTGATCGGAACGTTTTTAAGTTACAATCAAAGGTAAACAGATTATATAAAATTGAAGTTGAATAATAATTTATATACTCAACACATTTAACCTTTATCATTCATCAACAGAATCTTAACCTTCAAGGACAAATTGCTATTCATAAGATGTTTTTCTCTCTTGAGAATTTGAATTTCTTAAAGTATCATTCCGTTTCTTCATTTTTTAAGTTATTTTCTTTTAAATCAAATTCCTAGAATTCTCAAATTTTAATGGTTGACAAAAAGTGCAAAAGATTCTCGTTCTTTTTCTTTGATATTCAACATTTTTTAAAATACTACAAAAATCTCTTTATCATCAACGGATGTTATTTTTGAATTAATTTTTTCCCTAAACGTTTTCTTCTTGGGGATTTGAAAGACTTATGAAAATTTTTATTGTTTAATTCTATCAATTTAATTCCGCCAATTGTTTCAACCAGTTAATGAATTTTTAAGATAATTTTAACAAAAATGAAATTTAATTTTATTCTTGAAAAGTTTTACTTCAAATTAAAATCATTCATCAGTTTCAACCAGTTATTATTAAATTTTAAAGAAAGGAAATTTAATTTTATCCTTAAAAAATTTTGCTTTGAATTAAAATTATTCATTAGTGTTTTGTAAACTTTAAATTCATATTTAACTTTTTAAATGTACAGCTCTTTTTATGGTTAAGGATAATTGGGAAAGAATATAAAAGGGATAAAATTTCGGATACTTCAAAAGATATTTCAGAGATTTTGAATGCGATGTTATACTTTAAATTTTGCAATTGTTAAAAGATGAAAATTGTTTTCAAAGGGCATTTGGTCAGTTTTACAACTCGTCCAGTTTAATTTTAGCTCATATCAATTCAAGTTTTGGAAATTTAATAAGTAAACATTCAGTCTTTTCACGCCCATAGAAGTATCTGAAATCAATTAAAACTGGATATTATGGAATGCGATTTAAATGGAACCTGATTTCATATTCTGGACTAATTAGCTTTATTAACTTGATTTATGCAACATTTATCTGCTTTTGTGGTTTTAATTATTTAGGGATCTTAATTATTTTTTATTCCTTAACTTCTTCTGTGTTTCATTAAATTTTTTCTTCTCATTTAAAGTCACGTAAAAATCTGCTCGTAACGTGAAAATAATTATGATTTTCACTTAGATCAATGATTTGATTACTAAACGTAAATAGTACACGTAATGTTTAAGGAAAAAATTCGATTCATTGTTATGTGATTATAAATATCTAAGGCATTTTATCAATACTTAACATCCAGTTATGAGATTATAAATATCTAAGGTTATCTTAACAATAGCAGCGTTATTTAACATCCAGTCATGAGATCATAAATAGCTAAGGTAATCTTATCAATAGCAGCGTTATTTAACATTCAGAGACATTACTGTTTTTTTTCGACTTCTATAAGCTGTAATTTTTCAACACATTTCCTTTTGATGTGATAGTTTTTTCTTTTTTGTAGTTGGCGGATTATGAAAAAAAACGTGAAGAAATGTTGAAAAATGTTGGATTTGTGACAAGTGCGCCAAATGATCTAATTATTCCTGAAAAAGATACTAAAGATAATACTAAAGGAGATGATTTATCAATCAATACGAACAATGAACCGTTAGGTATTTTGATTTTTTCCTTTTTTCCCTTATGCTATGTATCAACAAAAGTGCAATTTGCATTATCCGTCTTCTCCGGTCCGGAATAAAGCAATTCCTGATAAATCGTCCAAATGAAGACATTTTCAATGAATTCTTGAATAAAAGCCATTATTGATAAAGCATACAAAATGCGCTTTTCTTTTTAAAACACATTTAAAAATTTATTTATTCTGTATTCGAATGAATGATATGTAAAATACTTTACAATACAAACCGTACATTTGACTATTAGTTGCTTAAAAAAGAATGAATGAAAGAAATGGAAGAATCGAAGTTATTCTTTTCTTGTTAGGCTGGCCACATGCATTGATTGATCATTCAACAGATACTATTATTCATTATTCATACCTTAGGGCCTTTTTGCAGTCTGATGGTATGCATTAACACAGTCAATGAATAGTATGGCGAATTTTTTCACGGATATAAGTGAAAACTTTGTTTCGTAGGCATTTTTAGTGTATTTTTGTTTCTCAGATGGTAATAATGTTAGTGGTATGACAGAACCAATAACGATTGATTATGGTACTGATTTGACAATGGGAAAGATTCCGGAAATGGAAAAAAGTGATGAAGTGAGTGTTGGAGAATTTTATTACGATTACGACCACTTATTTATGCATGACGGATACTGGATGAGTTGTTAGATTACATTTCAAAATTAATTGAATTAAAGTAAGTTAAACTAACTTGATTTAATATAAGAGGAATTTTTCGCAATTAATTAAGTAAATTTTGACATAAATTTAATATATAATATTTCAGATTACTACAAGAAGTGCTGGTAGTAGCAGAAATTTAATGGAAGAAAAAAAACTACAAAATGATCCATTTTGGAAACATTTCCTTCAAATCAATGTATTTCTTATTTCTACTTTTTAGAATTATTTTATTTCATTAAATTCTTCATTTAAATTGTTACTTTTTTATAATTTCATGATCAGAAGTACCATTTGAATGCCGCACATATTCATATGATTTACATTAAACATCTTTAGGAGACGGACAATGGGACACAAAATTCATTAGGTGATTTGAAAGAAGTGGTCACTACGCTTAATCTTTCGCAAGCACAAACTGCTGCATTTGTAAGAATCATTGAAAAAGTAAAATTTTATTTTAAATTTTTAAAAGACTTCGAAAGTTTCAGTAAAATTGAATTTATCTAAAAATTTAGTATAGCTTTCTTTTTGCAGATTGTCGATGTAGAACTTAAAAGACGTCGTGATGAAGAGGCGTCAAAATTAAACTTCACTCAAACATCAGAAAAACCAAAATTAGTTGCTGCCAAATTCCATGAAGTCGATAATGAATCTGAAAAAGTTGCTTAATTTTTCACACAAAAAAAAAAACTTTTAGTGTTTTAGTTTAATTTGTCGGATATTGACCTGAAAATTTCCACCGCGGTATTTATTACAATTTTCGAGTGCAAAAATCGATAAGCAAGGAAATTTCTCGGACAAATCTCCTCACTTATTGATGGCGAAAACTAGTTAGTGCAAATGATCATCATTCATAGATGATGTGATGGATATAATTATAAAGGTAAAGTTAGAGTATGTTTTCGATCGTCATCCGTGGATTTAAGTGATACATAGTAGTGGTTAATGCAAAAAAATTTACACAATGTAGACTTGATTGATTAATAGTTGAAAATTCAGGATATCGATAATCATTACGACGAAGAAATCAGACCGCACGAAAAATTTACGCCAAATACACGGTTGAGTTTTGATGAACAACATATCAATGTTGATTATCATAACGGAGAAGATGGAATTTCGGAATCGTTAGTTGCAGGCCCAATGAAATTAGATTCTCGTGAAGGTTAAACATTTTTTAAGTAATATATTAATTTAAAATTTTATAATAGATTTGAAGGAAATATCAAAGTTGATTAATTATGTAAGGCATATATGATTGAAAGTATGCGAAAAGCAACATAACTTAGAAGGAAGATTGCTGAATATTACGTAGAGTTTCTTGGACAGAAATAGGTAAGAAAGATAACAAAAGCAATAGTGACCATTTGGAATAAAATGACGCAATGGTCAATCAACAACGGAATGGTCAATCATGTTCAGATATAATAGAAATAAAGGAAAAGTCTGAATAATGCAAATCAAAGGATATAATAAATTTCCTTCATTTCGTCTCTATTCTAGTAAAAGCATTTTAACAAAATGATAATACAAATACTTTCTGATAAACAAATAGCCGAATGTGGTCAGTTCACTCCTTTTAAAATCTTTTTCTTCAACACAACTTCATGCTATCACAGATGTTTGGACTACTTTGCATGGGATATTATTTTTTAATGTTTAATAAATTTATTTTATTAATGATTAATAATTACAGAGAATTTTTTCTTGACATGAAATTGAAATTTAATTTATTTTAGCTAGGTGGAAGATAGGTTATATAGCACGTGAACAAGCTGAATATGATCGATTAGTAAGCGGAATTACTGATACAACTTCGGGATCAGATCATTTAGAAATTAAACATATTCAAAGTACCAATCAGGGATTGCTAAGGACGACAGTTGAAAGTACAAGTACCGAAGAACCACGAAGTATGCCAAATATTTCAAATTGTTTGCTAAAATTAGCTTGCAAATAATAGTTGATGGAAAGATATCGTGCAAGAAATTTGCATCATTTAATTTTTCCAAAAATCTTTTTTTGCATAGGACGCAAATAAAAGAATAATTGAAAGAAGACAAATAACATTGATCAAAAAATAAATTTCAAATTTTGTTTTTTTTTTTTTAAATATCTAATAATTTCGTAGCTGTCAGCAAAATTCTGATTGCATTTAATCGTAATTGAAAGTTACTTATTATTCCATGAATTTTTTCAGCAAGCAATTCAATGATTTATGAGACGATAGGATTACAACCAATTGAACAACCTTACATACCGAAAAGAACAACAATAATTTACGGCAAAGTATGAATTTGGAAAGTTTTTACGGACGTTTTAATATTTTCAATGATTTCATCACATTTGTTATTAATTTCTTTTTCCTTTATTTTTCTTATTAATTGAACAATTTCAAATTTTTTAAAGTAAAAAAAGAAGGAAAGAGAATAACAGCTTACTGCAGGCAACATCAATTCCGAGGACAGTATTCGAACGACAAGCAGAAGATTTTCGAAGTCGACTGCTTGGAATTAACGGTTTCGGTGATATTATTAAGGCATTGAAACATGCTAAAATTGGATTTTTTGAAAGGTTGTCAATAATTTCGGAAATTTTGAATTTAAACTTTTTAGATTATTCAGTTATGAAACTGAAGTTCTTTAGCATAGTTTTGTAACGTATTAGTTGATGATATTTTACTGAAGAATTATATTTCAGGAACTGAATGATAAGATGACATTCTGAGATCATTGAAATTTTATGTAACTGGGAAAAGTTGAAGATCAATTGATATTGTTCCGATCTAAAATTTGGCTCACGAATTTTTGTAATTTTATTGTAAAAAATTTTATATCGTGCGTGTACATTTTTTTTTGTAAATATAAATATAAATGTTTGAAAGCTTTTTGGAAATATTTGAAAAACCTTTTTGAAATAATTTTTTCCATTCATCAATATGATTTATCAAAATGCAAAAATTAATAAGCACTTATTTCTCGAAGCTTATCCATCCATCCATCCATCCATCCATCCATCCATCCACCCATTCATAATCCTGAATATCGAAGAAAATGAAATCGAGAATCCATCTTTATTTCATTTTTGCATTGACAGATAAATAAAAGCCTTAGAAAAGATGCACAGAGTTTATAAGTATTTTTGAAGAACTTCATGGAAAATTGCGAAATATATCACAGATTAATCCAGTTACTACTTATAGTTTTTTAAATGCAAAAATATTAAATTCCACAAATAGTTTACAGATATTGCACAGGGTCAAAATAACTTTTACAAATGTAATTTCCATAAAGTCGAAATAACTTTAAGAATACATTTTGCATAAGGTCAGAATGTACCTTTTACGAATATATCTTTAGCTTTCTTACGAAGGAATTTAAGGCAATTCTTTACCATTTTGCTTAGTTTAATCTTTTCCAGTTATTAATAAAATTTTTTACGTTCTTTTTCACAATTCTTTTTGAAGTTATTTAACTTTAATAATAACTTACCTATTGAATTGAGAAAACTTGCTGTAATTTAACAAAGTTGCATATAGTTCTAGTAATTTAGCTATTTTGCATATTTAACTTATATTTATCTTTAGTTGTGAATATGGATGGTGGAGATAGGTTAAAATCATATCAGATCCATTTGACATAAAAGAAAAATTTAATGACAAAATAGTTTTGGATATAAAGAATTCTGACGATTGGCAATAAGGCTTTTATATTTTTCTTCTTTGGATTTATTTTCAATTGGTTAATTTCAAAGGATAATCCATTTGGAGGTAATTTTGAAATGGCTGAATTAAATACTTAAAAGCATAATATCCATTCCTTTAAGAATTCGCGAATGATTTTTGATAGTTTTTGTTGGTTCATATTAAATTCTTCTAATATACAAATAATACTGTATCACAGTTAGAATAAATTTTAATTTTTTTTATATCATAAATTTTCGTAAATTTCATATTCTCTCAAGCAGACAATGCTTAAGTTAATTGCAAAAACAATAAAAAATTAATTAACCGTTGGATTAACGTAGAACTTATTAATTAAATTACGAATTGTGCTCTAAAAGCTTTCAATTTTTAATAATTTTTATTGATAAGATAATTAAAATTTGACTCTTTTGCTATTAAAAGAAATGCTAATAAATTTAAAGTGAATCAATTCTAAGGATCGAAAACACCGTAAAGTCACTACGCTCCTTTTTTCTATTGGAAGTAATCACTGTTAAAGAATAATTTAACAATATTAGTGATAAAAAATAATGCAAGTTTTATCTTTATTCCTGTACTAATTCTAAAGACCGAAAACGCTGCAAAGTTAAAAAGTATTTAATTTGTTTTTAAAAATGTTAAATGATAAGGAAGAAAATAAATGGTTATCAGTTGAAATGCACCATTATCACTCAATTTTTATCTTTTAATTAATCCCATGTCAAATGCAAATTCACTGATATGATCAGTAATGTTAATAAAATGCGAAGTGTCGGTGAGCTTTTTTTGCAACCAAGACTTATATCTTCTGATATGATCATTGATTGAATTTTCATTGTGATAAATTTGAACTATGATAAATTATCACTTAGATCTTCATTGTAACAAATATAAACGACTTTGGAAGTGAGAAAAGCATGTGGTACCTAAATGAATGAGAAAAGTTTCATTGACATGAATTAAAACTGAAATTTAAAATAGTACTAGAAAGAATTCCTATTCTATGGTTAAATTGTGAATTACAGTTAGCAAGCTTATTAGTTGCAATACATTTATGCATGCATATTTTATCTAACTTGCATGCATGCATGAATAATTGTTTATTTGTATATATTTTTGTGAACAAATATGATGAAGCGGTTTGAAAATGAAAATAAAAGTACTTACAGGTGAGCAAAAATATTTATGGGATAATTGCTGCATGCATTGTTTGCTGAACTATTTCAATTTTAGCCTAATATATATTTTGATAGTGTTATTATCATCAAAAGGATTATTTATTTGTGGCTGATTCATTCTAAAAATTCCTAAAAGATTTTCTTATGGTAATTATTTAATAATTATTGTATTAATTATGAAATTTCGACAAATTTATTGTTGTTTATTAATAGATATCCTTATTTCGGATACATTAAAAGCTTCGCTTAATGATAGTTTTTAAAAGTTTCTCTGATCAAATTATATGAAATCATTTTTTATTGTATAATAAAATTACTTGAAAAAAAATGTTAGTTTTGTTTTACCTTTAATTATTATATGCTTAAAAAGTAAGTTAGAAAAAGGCTTACTTTTCAAATAATATATATTTATATAAAATATAATATGATAATTTTTCTTATATGCAAATGTAGCAATCAATAATTAATCGATATTCTATGTTCATACATTTGCTTGATAACTTTTATTGTTAAAGAGATTTTAATAGCATTCATAGTTTTATAGTTACATTTCAAATTTACACTCTGAAAATTTTTTGTGTTAAAATATGCATTTCGATAATAAATACAATTGAAGAAATTTTCTATTGCGAGGAGAATCTCTTAACATACTTATTGTTTTAATTTTTCTAATTTTTCTTTAAAGAATGAAAGTAATTATAAAAATTTTTTTCTATCTCTTTTATATGTCGTGAAGTTAATTAAAAACAATTAACTTTAGTTAAATTATTTATGCTAATTTAATTAAGCTAAATTAGATGGATGAAGCAAATTTCATAGCGTAAATTTCAATACAAATGTAAAATTATGAATGCTACAAAAATCTTTTTAACAGTAAAAATTATCGAACAATGTATAAACATGGAATATTGATTGATTATTGATTGCTATATTTACATATAAAAAATTGTTTTATCCTGATGTTAAATATCATTTTCTACAACGATCGGATCGTTGCATACCCTAAATTGATAATTATTTTTTTATGCAAAAATTTATTTTAATTAATTGAATATAATAAAATGTTTGTGTTAATTTTTCTTTTCACCTCTATCGGTTCGAAATTTACAATTGCTTGCATTTTCTTATCCTTCATTTTGTTACTTCTTTTTTGCTCTAATTTGTTTTTGAAATCTTTAAGATAGTTATTAGTTACAGCGCAATATGTATCAGAGCGCAATATATATTATAGCGCAAAATTGAATTGCTTTTTTCTCACCTAAGAAATGTGTAATTGAACTTTTATTCTCATCTGAGTTTTCTAGCCATGTCATTAGTATCGTATGGAGAATTCTATCTATAATATACTTACTATTTGACCAGTTTCTGAATTGTCAATGCAATTCTTTCCGAATTCAAATAATCGTTAGATAGTGATTGATAACTATTATTTCGATAAAATGAAATTCAGTATTTTATATTTCAGAGAACGATTACCATAAATCTTTCAATAAATGAAATTATCGAGCAAAATTGATTTATATTATAAATAATGTATATGCTACCCTACGAAAATTTCGAAATTTAAAAGAGAACATTTGAATATTTTGTTCGTATTTTTAAATAAACCATTTCAGTAATTCCAGAAATAAAAATAATAGTATGCTTAAAATTTAAATTTTAAAATAGGAAAATGAATTATTGAAGATGCAATATAAAAAGTTTGGGTCAATTGTTTTGTTGTTAAAATCGATGATGGTAATTATTTAATTTTAATTAAAAATATCTTTATAAACGCTTTTTTCACCTCTTATAAAATTCATTAAATTTTCTTGTTGTTACTAATTAGCATTTATATTCCTAAATAATTGAATTCAACTCATTAAATCAAGTTTTAATTTAAGTTAATTGCAAGCCTCATTTACAGTGCTGCAAACTATGTAATTTTATATATTTTGAAGCAGAAATTTCAATTAGAAATTGTAATTCATTTCTAAAAAAGATCATCATGTAATTCTTAGCCACATTTTTTAAATCGATAAATCTAACTTTAAAATGTGAAATTTTAAAATATGAAATTTATATATAATCAAAAAGGTTTCAATACCCTTTTCCTCTTCGCCTAATAGATCAATTATACATCAATAATATGAAATGAAATGTGAAACATTTTCATATTATTGAAGTATAATTGATCTATTTGACGAAGAGAAAAAAGTCGTCAAAAATACTCTAATAAAATTATATGCATTTTCGAAGTATCATTGATTTAGCAAGATAGCAATCGATTTTTAAAAGCTGTTTTAAAACGTTATCAAAATTTGGTTGTTACCGGATATAGTTACCTGATCAATGCTCTGTAACACTTTGAATTTATTTATTATAAGATGAATTATAATAAATAAATGATTTCAGATAGCTTTCTTATTTGTTCAGTCTATTCCAGTATATTTCATTTTTAAATGAAATGATAATGGGGGGGGGGGAGGGGAAGAATGAGTAAAAACTTATCATCCATACCTTACAGATCACAAATATCTTTTCTCTACATTTCTTGTGTAATTCAATTTCTTTCTTTATTATTTTTATCCGTAGGTTGTACAGTATTTTAATGAATTGATTATTTTATCGTCAAATTAAATTGCCAACAATTGCGCGATTAAATTAAATTAAATTTTTAAACTAATTAAACTTGCCGATTGATAAAGTTTACTGGATTTGCATTAATATTCGAAATTTCGAATTTTTAGTTGTATTTGAAGAGTGGCAATTTCGTGGTGCCATTTGACATAATAATGACAAAAATAATATCAACAATTAATATACAATACAATGCGAAAATTCCGCTTATGCGATATAATGGAAATGGTAAGCTTTTGCATATTTATCTGATTCCAATAGATAAATTAGATGAAATAAGTATCAATTA